CCTGACGCAACGAAGCTATGGTATGGTGAGGGAAGCATCGGTTGGCCACCGATGTGTACCTGCAATGTACAGAGCGAAGTTGCTGCCATTTCTCCTTTCTCAGGTCCGGTGTCCGAGGTGATAACACTCAGGAATGCAACTAGAAGTGGCAAAGCCGACATAACAACTTGGACGAAGGGCCATTTCTCCGCGTGTGTGTGTGTGTGTGTGAGGGTCCACTCTGCTTGGCCACGGCAGAGGGCCACCTTGCAAAAAGTGTCTCCAAGGCTCACGTTTTTAAGCTGGGCTTGGTTACAGGACTCGCAGTTCAAAGCTGGAAGTTCGGACAGCTGTGAGGTCTTTGCAACCTTTGCATTCGCAAGCAGCTAGCTGCTGGTAGTTGTCATAGAGTCGAGGGTATCTCATGGTTCTATAAGCCAGTCAAGTCGTAAGTGCCGCCAAGGTATTTCGCTTTCGTGGATGTGGAGGCTGGATTTGGTCAACAGCCTCCGTGAACACGATGGTCCATCCCGCAGAGTCTAGGACTGCCTTCTACCTCCAAAGGTGCGCAACCCCAAACTAGAGACGGGCTCCCTCCTGAAGTTGTGAGACTGACAGCAAGGGCGTCGTGCGGCGGAGCCGCTTCCTCTCCTCGTCGCTGGCGCCCTTCGCCCCGCCGCCACTGCCTTCGAACACCGAGAGCTCGGAAGAGGACTTGAGACAGGGGCAGTGGTGGGGTGGTGTTGAGCGGTGCTGCAGCAGAAGCCCCGGGCAAAGACTGACGCGGGCTGGAAAGCTACGCAGGGATCAGGGGAGCTAGAGACAGACGGCCACTCCACTTTCTCACAGGAGTACGTGGCGGCGGCTAAAGCCATGCGGAAGGACTTCTGCATAACCCAACATCTTCAGGCTTGCTGGACAGCCTGCCAGCAGCACCATTTGTTCTGGAATGCTGGACGCCAGTTTTTCGTGTAATCCCAGCCCTCCGATATCTTCAGCTGTGCTTGCGCAGGATTCGAAATTCGAGTCCCTGACGGGGCTGATGCGGAAGCGTAACAGCTCGGCGCTAAGCGGGTGGCGCTGAGCAGCTATTTTTTCGGTTCGTCTGGTTGACACCGGGGCTTGGATGAACCCAAGAACCCACAGGCCATAGATACAGGGTGAGCTTTCGATTTTTGCCGGATCTTGAGGCAGCAACTCACTGCAGCTCTTGAGCCAGAGTCCGGGTCCGGATGAGGCTCTGACTCGAAGGGATTGTTCAGCACATGATGCTTTTCAGTGCTTCTTGCCGGGAGGTTTCGGGGTTAGAGTGGCTTCTGTGTCACCGCTTAGTGATGGCGAGTTGCGACCGGCCTCCGGTCATTCTGCATCTAGGGACCCGTTATTTGCATGCCATCAGGGCGCCGACCTTGCACGATCGATGGTTTCAAAGACCCATGGGGCCTTGAGGGTCCACACAGTAGTGTGGAAAGCAATGGGCCATAATTAACCGTGTTAACCCCAGAAACTGAGACTTACAATTGAGTGTGAGGGCATCAGCTTTCAGCTTTCGGGCTGTAGAACAATATTGCGAGAGTCCTGGATGCAAAAGAGCATATTGTTCTAAGTCTTGACAGTTTGGGGCTGAGAGTGCTGGTTTCATGAAGTCCTAAGCCCGCACCGAGCCCCAAAGGCCGAACGGCTCTATCTCGTCTGAGTCGCAGGTTGCCGGGAGCTCGCGAAAAGCGGCGCCGGACGAGCTCCTTGTCGTGTTTCAGCAGTGCTTGCATCTTGCTGACTCACAGTGTCAAGCCGGCGAAACTTTGCAGAGCAACTTCATCAGCCAGATTCTCTGCTGTTCCACATCCAAGGATCGTTATCCGGAATCGCAGCAGTCACGATGTTCGAGCGATGTTGTGGCCCAGCTTCACGAAGAGCTGTGAGACTTAATGTCCGAGAGAGCTCCCTCGCCAAATGCCAAACTGAACTTGCACTTCGTTCCGTTTGCGCGACGGCACACACTGTCCTTGGTTGGTTCAAGCGGCCGCGCTTCCACAGCCAGAAGCGGCACAAAACTCAAACATTTGGGTCTGAAGGCTGAGCCCTAGGCACTAGAAGCCTAGTTTGTTCGTAACGATACAGTCGAGTCCGACGCCCAGCAGCCTAGCACTGTGCACTTTGGGGGGAATCTGTTTAAATCTTCCTGCTCACATCCCTGGAGCAGAAAACTCGGAGAGCGTGGAGGGAGAAGGGATGCAACCAGCACGGCGAAAGCCGTCCTGCCCCAGTGTCCCAGCAAATTCAATCCCAGACCTTCACACATGCGGGTCAAGAGGCAATTTGTGCGCCGTGGCCACAGATCAAAGGCGGACACCTATTCCTCACAGAAACCCGGTGCCAGAAACATGTCCGCACGGACCCTCAGACTCAGACGCGCCAGCAACTATCAGCAGAGTGACGTTGTGCAAGCAAACTGGGCCATGCGACGCTGCCACGAGCAATCAGCTATACACGGCTACAGGGCGCAAAATTGGACGCGGGAAGCGTTTAGTCTACGTTCGAAATGAAGTAAACAAAATCTTGCCGATACAAAACTTAACGCAACTGCAGCACCAGCTGGCGCGTTGACGGCTTCTGGATGCTATGTCTGCTATTTGGTTCGCCCTTCAACGTGCAGGGAGTGGGCCGCCAGTGTGCGTTGTAAGTCGGCCAAAAAGGCATAAAAATGCATGACTTCACAGCTGCGTTTCCCAATGTGCAGCGAGGGGATGTCCCGTAGGCGACAACCATAGACGAGCAAGATCTAGCAAGCAGCAGTTCAGGCGAACCAACAGACCGGATCCGTAGCCTCGCCGAGCAGGAATAGTAAGCCGTACCGGCCAAGCACCGGGTAGACTGGTAGACCACTCACGTGAATAATCTGCTGAGGGACAGCAGCCGAAACTTTATCAGCTATCCGAACCTGCACCCGAGAGTGTCCAGCCTGACATGCAGGCCAAAACGCGAACGACTGCCCGCCCAAGGGTCAACGCGAGGTTGTAGACAATGCGAAACTGAGACTGTACACCCGACTGAGACGCATATGTATTGGGATCCCGCTCAGCCCAAGCAGCTGAGGCCCCTACCCCTCAGTAAGCCCTAGTGGCCCCAGATTTCCTCAGCGAAGGTTCAGACCCAACGACTACTGCTGCATGATACCACTGGTGGGAAAGCTCCTTGGCCAGGCCTTGTAGGCAGTTTTGGCCCGAGCTTTGTCCTAAACCGAATCTTTATTATCTAGATGCATGTGTTCTTGACGAAGTTTTCAGCACCGGCCGTTCAGCAACGACCCCCAACCAAACAACCGTGCCACAAAGGGCGAAACCATACACTCCCAAGGCTCACGGCATGCGGTGATTGCATTCTGCAAGGACGCCAACGTGACTGCCCTTTTGGTCTAGCCGTCCAGCAGTTGTCTCTTGTTGTGTGTGCGAATTCCATGATACATGGCATCTCAAAGCCTCATGTCGCGTCAAGATCCCAGGAATCATTCTGAAACCCCATCAGCAACTCCAACCTCAAACTATCAGAGGTTAATCAAGTCCCAGCAGGTTGTCCTGCACGAGGGATCTAAATAGAACAGGCTGCTGTGCATTCCTTTAAACATTTCATGTTGCATTTGGTTTGCACCACTGGTGCGGAAAGGAGAAGAGCGCCGATTCACGCCTCTGGCGCATTCCCCGGAATTCACTCTCAAGGCATCCGGCGTTGTTCGGCGGGGTTTGTATGTTAAGGGGTTTAGGCATGAGGGGTTGAGGTTACGCATATGGCCTGGGGCGATTTTTACCTCGGAGACAGAGTTGGTATTGCAAAGTCCTTCCCAGATTTCCCGGCAAGTGTTACAAATGCAGATGTTTTATGATGTTTTAACTGCAGAGGTCGAATCCTGGGTCCAGAAAGTTTCTACTGTTCAAGATGCCTGGGGTGAAGAGTCTTCCAGCCTTCCAGCTTGCTGACAGACGGACCACTTCAGATCTTTGGACTACTTTGAGCAAGGACTTCTCTGTGAGGCATCGCCCCAAGAATTTCAATGACATTGCTGAGCATGAGCTGCCACGACGAACAGCGCTGCCATGGAGACTTGATGGTTTCACAGGCTTGAAACCATCAAAACAAACAAGCCTAGCTCGACAGCTGTACTGATCTCCTGTAAGCCATCTCCGCTAAACCCATGGCTGTATCAAGGCGACGAACATTCTAAGGGTGGTCATAAACCCCTGTCACAATCTCGTTTCCTTGTTCTGTTGTCCTGGCAGGTGTATTCCGTGGGGCCTGCTGCCAAGGAGCTCACGTACCTCACCGTCTCCCGCCCGGGGCCCAGACATGTTTCGTAGTTGAGTTTCTTTGGCCATGGCGGTTGAAGGTTTAAGACTCTTCGGGTAATTACTGCAGACTTCAGGGGAGCTTCGGGCTGCGCTGTTGATCCGGAACTTCAGAGTTCGAAGGTTGGGGCCACGTCCATACATCGCCGATGGAAGCTGAACCATTGAACAAGTAGGCTTTGGCTTGGTGGCATTCTGCATTGGTCCCGGAAGCTAAGGTGGAAACGCTTATACCTTTTGTGATTCTCTTCTGTCCTAGCTGCGGCTGCACTGTCGCGAGGGGCTGTGCGTGAAGTGACACAGCTTTCCCCGACATGTTTCAAAGACAGCCGTACTGCAGCGGATGACAATTGTTTCGAGTCCTGGACCTCAAGCTGCGTTTAAGGCTTTTCAAAAGAGGCAGGCGCTTGAGTTTAGACTGCGATGACTGGCTCCCTCCTTCCAGTTGGCCTTGAGCTGCAGAACTAGCCAGTCTTGCCAGGGATTGCGGGGAGGAGGGGCAGCGCATAGTTTTCCGCTGTGGCGATTCCGCCCCTCTGTGCCGCCTCCTCCCCCCTTCGGGGCTTGACCACGGAGTCCTAAGGCGGCCCTAACGAACGAGCAAGGCCTGGCAGAAGTTAGAACATTTCTAGAAAGGTCGAAAGTATCAATTCGGTTTTACAGGATCGAAGGCAGTCAACTAGCCAACCAGCCACAGCAGAGATCGCCCTCAGCAGGGGACTGCTCAAAATGTATTAGGCTGCGAGTCTGCTTTTCCCTTTGGAGCTGTAGGCCCGGTCATAAGTTCAGCGTTCGCTTTCATCTCGGGGGTGTTGTTTTGTTGTTGTCCCCACCCTCGATATCCTGCCATGAACTTGTTTGTTTACGATAATTTTGCAATTGTTGGTGGACGCCGTGGACGCCACATAGGACGGGCACATCTTGGGCTAGAGCTACGGCTTTGTTGCTTTTGAGTAGTCCCCTTCCACAATGCCTATCAACTGCATTTGCTGGAGTGAGTTTCTTCCATCTGCTTCCGGACAGAGAGGCCCTTGCTGTGGCCAGGGGCACTAGAGCTTTCCAAGTCAGATCCCAAACTCCGACACTGAATGTAGCAAAGTTTGAGCATGGTAGCTTCCAGCCACTAGATGTGACAGGCGGTTGTATGAAAGCAGATGGGGAGAGTCCAGTCAGGTAAATTACACCGCAGTCAGATCCTCAGCCAACACTCAACACCCACAAGGTCGAAATCTCATGTGGTCAGCATTGTACCATGCATTGTACCGAAGGTCCATCGATACACACAAAGCTGGACACGGCAAGGCTACGGCACCTATTTGGACGGGTGCTCGTAATTCGAGCGAGGGGTGTGGCCGAGTAGAAACAGTGTGTTGTTTGACGGTCTAGGCTAAAGCCCTTCTACCTTTAGATTCAGGAACTTCAGGTAGGAATTTGCTCCGAACTGCAAGGCGGACGCTTCGGCACCCGTGCCAAGACTATTTTTACCAAGTGGCAAGCCTCCGTAGTGTCAGGGGCAGAGAAGACAGGGAGAGACTTAGAGAGGCAGGGAGAGACAGAGAGAGAGAGAACTCTGCTAACATGCTGTGTTTTCAGTTTCATCAGTCAGTGGGACCCCAATGCCCACCACTCAATAACACAATTGGTGGTAGGGCGGGCCAAAGGCCTGAGGGTCGGGCCGACCGACCCCTATGCCCTGCAGAAAGAAAGAAAGAGCTAGCAGAGTATGCTAAAATAGACTCTGTCATCCGCCCGTTGGTTCCTGACCCTTGTAAAAAAAAAAGCGGTTCGCCATTCAGCCCTTGGAAGGCGAGAGACGGAGGGAGGTAGACTTGGTCACTTCCGGGCTGGGCGAGAGGAAGCAGCGGAACACACGTAAATCAGCAGCTGCGCGCGGATCAGCAACTGGCATCAGCAACTACCGTGCAGGCGTCAAATCAGCAACTACGAGTCCACCGAAACAGCCACATCAACACCTACGATCTCCGCGTCGGCAACTGAAATTTCCTCGCCGCAACCAAGGCGCTTGATCCCAAGCATGTTGCCTCGAAATCCGACACCTCTTTAAGACGCTGGCAATTGATCCCAGCCGGGAACTGTTTCTCAAAATCCAACCCCTCCTCAAGGCGATGGCGGTTGATTCCACGAGCAGTTCCTCAAAATTCGACCCTCCTTGAGGCGATGGCGGTTGAACCGACCCTTCCTTAAGGTGATGGCGTTTGATCCCAGGCACAGCTTTTCCAGATCCGACCCCCCCGGAAGGAGATGGCGGTTGAGACCAGGAACCGTTTCTCAAAATTCGACCCCTTCCTCCAAATCCGCTACCTCAGAATCCGACCCGCATGAGCAGTCGGAGCAGCAGGATCAGCAGCAGTAGTAGTAGTAGTAGTAGTAGTAGTACTAGTAGTACTAGTAGTACTACTAGTAGTAGTAGAACAAGAAGGAGGAGGAGGAGTAGTAGTAGTAGTGGCGGTAATGGTAGTGGTAGTGGTAGCGGTAGTGGTGATTCGTCGTGGTCGTGGTAGTGGTAGTGGCAGTGGAAGTGGCAGTGGCAGCGGTAGTAGCGGTAGTGTTAGTAGTTGTGGCAGTAGTGGTAGTAGCGGTTGTAGTAGTAGCAGAAGTAGTAGCGGGGTAGTAGTGGTAGTAGCAGCAGACGTAGTAGCGGATGCAGTAGCAGTAGTAGTAGTAGTAGTAGTAGTAGTAGATGTAGTAGATGTAGCAGATGTAGTATGTAGTATGTAGTATGTAGTATGTAGTATGTAGTATGTAGTATGTAGTATGTAGTATGGAGTATGGAGTATGGAGTATGTGTAGTATGTGTAGTATGTGTAGTACATGTAGTAGTAGTAGTAGTAGTAGTAGTAGTACTAGTACTAGTACTAGTACTAGTACTAGTAGGAGGAGGAGGAGGAGTAGGAGTAGGACTAGGAGTAAGAGCAGGAGTAAGAGTGGGACAAGGAGCAGGAGCAGGAGTAGTAGTAGGAGTAGGAAAAGGAGCTGGAGTAGGAGTAGGAGTCGTAGTTGGAGTGAGGATGCCTGCAGGCTGCTAGGGTCATCCTGTGTGGCCGGTCCGGACTGGTAGTTGCTGGCTCAGGGTTCTTGGTTGCCGACGCAGATTTCTAGGTTTTCATCTAGTTTCTAGTTAAACTAGTTACTAGTTGCCGATGCAGCGTTTTCGGCTTTTGGTTGACGAAACAGGCCTGGTTGCTGAATCAGGGTTCTTGGTTATGGTTGCCGATGTAGCATGCGTTGAAGATTCAGCTTTTCTTGCTTGCAGATTAAGGCATCTTGATTTTTTTCTGCTGCCAGGCCCCAGCAGCAGGACCACCACAAACCCGGTTCGGCAAAGAAGTGCACTTCGCTGTAAGGGAGAGGCTCGGAACGTGTCCACATGATGGGAAGGAAGAACACATTTGAAACACATGTGGCGGGTGCCGGTAATAATTTATTCTCACTTCCGAACGCTTGATGCGCTACACATAAATGACCCAGCCAACAACCCTAAACCAAAGCAAGCAAGAGAGAAATAGAGAAGGTTTTCATTTTGCCGGGTTCGTGACAGCATCACTTTCTCCCGAAGCCGAAAGGCTCAGCCTGGGCCTAAGGCCTTGAGAGCTTCTCTCGCACTATCGGGGAAGAGGAAGAGAGAGGCAGAGATGGCGAGCCCCCGCGCAAGAAAGAAGGGAAAGCAGAAGAGAGGAGAATACATGAAAGGAGAAGAGAAGAGACAAAAGATGCAGACAGGGAGAGAAGCAAGAAAGACGCTGGGGACAGGAGACGACCTGCGAAGACAAGAGACGAGAAAAGAATACTTGGAGTGTCTGCCTACTGGGAAGGCCTTCCCAACCTTGCAGATTCGGAGTCACGTGGCTGTCTCGATATGTTGTAGGCCCCAGTACCTGGAAACCAAGCCCACGCGAATTCCCACCGACCCCCAGCCAGGGATGTTTAGCGATAACTGGAGATTCTGAGCTGTCTAAGCTCGGAGGACGCGTTCGGATACCTCTTCTAGTCTCGTCACCTTATAGGGGCCAGGAATATCGAGACTTGCCTTTGAAGACATAGTCAGCCGGTAGCTGTTTGCAGGCAGCCCTGGCAGGCCTTGTGCATCAGAGGAGCAGAACTGCGGCGCAAATGGTTGAGATGTCAGGAAGTGCAGGGGTAACCAGACAGGGTGCAACCCAGCTCCTATCAGGCCATGTCTTGCAGCAAGCGACTTGCCGGTTGAGCGCCCGAGAGGGCCACGTCCAGCCATGCAATTGACTGATGCCCTATATACGATGCGAGTGTTTGTGTTCGACCAAGAATCTGCATTATGGATGCCTTCAACTTGACCTTGGTTCGCCCGAGTAGTCGCGCAAGGTACAAAGAATTCGTAGTGGCTGTGAACCGTGGCAGCTGGTCGGAGACGCTCCCCAACTGAGGCTGAAGCTCTTGTGGATGGAGCTTCAGTTTGCTGCGTTCAGGTGCTGGCACCAGGGCTGTGCACTGTGGCTGTTTCTAGCTACTAGGTACTGTGGGTGGATGTCATTCGATAGACTGCAGCTATTGTCGAGTGATCCTTTAAGCGTAACGCCTGCCTCAACCGAAGGCTTGTTGCAAACGGACGTTGATTTTGCGGGATGTCAAAGTCTACAAAGCCCAGGTGCCCATAAGGCCTGCTCGTAAGCACGGTCCGGCACGACTACATGCTGCAAGAGCAGGGTGAAGAGAAGGTGTTTACGAAGTCGACTCGGGCCCGTCCTGCAACTTCCAAGTTGCTAGTACTCTTTCTGGCCTTCTTGGTTGCTGCAATGGGCAAGCAAGCTTTGTTTGATGGTCGAACATGTGAAGTTGGCAACTGCAGGGTCAAGCCAGAGTTCCGCCCTGGCTTGCGTATCGACTTGAATCGGACCTGTGAGCCTGAGCCTGCAGAGTCTCACCTTCGACTTCTCATGCGGCAAGACACAGCTTTACGACAGCAGACATGTACAGAAAGGACACGTGACGGTGCTTTTGGGGATCGCGATCACATATACCCCGGTTCTTTTGGAGGCCTCAGCCCGAGAGCCGAGGAGAGTGCACAAGGTCACTGGGATTCGGTTGGGTCTCCCAAGTGGTCCGAAGTCGCGGACTCATTGCCTGTGTTGCCCGCCCGGCCCAGCCACGCGTCCGTGGAACCCGGCAATCGACCAACTCCGATCACTAAAGGTGCTCAGTGAGATCTTGGACAGGCTCACGACCATCATCAGGCCGCAGGGGCTTGCGGGATTTGGAGGTCTAGTCTCTAGACTCCAGCCGCCGTGCACCTTTCAGGGTTTGCTTGAAGTTGCTCAGGGTCCGTGTTTTTCTTGCAAACTTCTCGCTCTTCGACGGCAACCCATGGCGCTATACCGAGGACAATGGAATCGGCCAACCTGAAGTGAACCATTGAAGACTGGGTTTGAAATTCTGACATGCGGAACAAGAAGACCTGGACCATAGGTGCTTAAAGATGAGGAAGCGTGGGTCAGAGCGAGACTGGACCATCGAGAACTAGGTGTTATGGTCAGGTATGCTGTCTGAGAGGTCTCAGCCTGCAGTAGGCCCAACCACATGCATCTCGACTTTGGCTTCGTTTCCCGGGCCTTTTGTCATCTACTCCGCAATGTGCAAAAGACGACCCGCGCGTGATGCGGCAAATGGGACCCCAGGGTCCAGGAATCCAGGGCCCCAGGGCCTCAACTCGGCTCCGCCCATAGCTCCGCCAATCCCCACCTCGCCCGCCCCGTTGCGCTTTTGTGCGGCTTGGCCATTTGGGTGCACTGCTTGGTTCTTGCGGGTTGGTCGAAACCTCTCTTTTGGGAAGACCAGGGATCAGGGGGGGAAGAACCCATTTTGTGGAAGAGCACTCGCTGACTTCCTCAAAAGCATCCCGATTGAGGCAGATCCACGTGCGAGACGGCACAGCGAAGGCCAGGGTCTGGGATGCAGGCTTGATGCCCAGGCTCTTGAGGACAACGGTTGCACAAGCTTTCGTGGGCCACTGCCGGAGCTTGTGGTGGATTTGAAGGGCAGCCGACACAGCCTCTCGAGACACCCATTTTTTGCATTTCAGGCCGTAAGCGTGGGCATTTTGATCAGCAACACCTTTTGGCCGGTCATCCGGCAGTGCCTGGCCGGAGCCTCACGTGAGAAGATGGCAAGCCACTGTCACGCTCGCTTGTGGCATGTCCAGCGACCACGAACCCGCTGTCTGTGGCGAATCCTGCGCCTCCCGAGGCACAGCATCCTGGCGACTCCAAGCTCGTCGAGAAAAGCTGTCGGCTGCTGAAGCACTCCATGCGCTGCGCACCTGGGCCGGAAGTTCGCTCCGTGAGCTTTTCGGGCTTCCTGCATGTTCAGGAGACCAGGCTCGCAAACGACCCAAAACCCTTGATGGCTTTGGGTGATTTTAACTTGGTCAGTTTCTCGATTCAGTCACGTTCAAACCTGCAGGGTTGTGTTGCAGATCAGCAAGTGTCGGAAACCAGACATCTCTTGTCAAGTTACGATGCCTTGTGATGCCCGATCCCCCACGGCGCCTGCCGAGCCCACATTAACGAAATTTGGGATCAGGTGCCTGACCTTTTCAAGCCCAACGTTCCAGACGTGGCACGTACACTTGTCACGGCCTTCCAGCAGCTTGAGCCTCAGGCGGTTGCGACTGTAGCTTTTAGCTTTGGGTTGCCTTAGCTAATTTTTGTTCCTTCGAGGGTCGAGACTACGAAACATCTTTTCAAAATTTGCTGGTGGGAAGTTCAGGGTTTAGCTCTGTTGCGCCATTTTTCCGCAGCCATTCAGGCCCGGCTCCTGAGCTCCAGGGCCAGGGCCAGGGGTGCCTTAAAGGCAGCTTTCCATGTCGCCTCGTTCCACGAGGATTTTCCACTTATTCTGGGCGGCCACAGCTTTGCGGCCTTCGGAGCCGCCGGGCAATCGTCTTGCCGTAGTCAACAACTTTGCCCATGCCAAGCAGCTGGACCTCGGGGGTCACATGGGGAAGCGAAAGTGAAGCACATTCTTGACAAGCACCCCAAACTCTCCAACCCATCTCCTAAAACGTGGCAATATTTCTCTGACAAGCCAGACGGCAGACTTGAACAGCACTGACAACCCAAGCCCCGTCACCTAAGTTCATCCACGTGCCCTAAACGCTCTTCTGAATGCATCTGACCCAGGAAGCCTTGAACACTCAGACCGTCAGCGAAGTGAGCAGTTCTTGTGCTGAAACCGGCAGGACTGGCTGAGAGACTTTCCAAAGGATGAGGCATCTCAGCTCAATGAAGCTACAGCGCTTTGGATATTTGGCTGTACATGATAGTTCATGGGTGTTTGGTGTTCGCGAGGTCGGACTCTTAGCACCATGTGGCTTTGAGGGTTGCGGGTGACCCCATCGATCGTGATGTTAGCCTGCGTCAGTTTCATGGTGCACCAGGAACTTCCCGTGGCCACATCCTTCAGAAGCTTCAAGATCCCCGAAACCATCGAATCGTCGAACACCAGAAAAACCCTTGAAAGTCCAAAGCTGCAGCTCCTGCTCGGGCCCCCGAAGCGCCCTCAAACCCAGGTCGGAGTTGACAGCCCACGAAGCATAGGTGAATCGCGGCCGTGGCTGCAGTGGATCGTGGACCACTACGACGCACGGCTTCAGGGTATGCGTTTCGCGTCCAGAATCATGTCAACCTGCCCTAACAACGTGCAAAAGTTCTCCCAAGTCAAGTGCCGGGATGCACCATTTTTTCGCGTCCAGAATCATGTCAACTGCCCTAACAACGTGCAAAAAGTTCTCCCAACTCAAGTGCCGGGATGCACCATTTGGTGGTCGGGCCATGTCGGGTCACGTTGCGGGGACCGAGTCTAATTACCGAAGACTTGATCAACTTGATCAGACAGGAGGGCGATAAAAGACAGCTGGAAAGCGAACATGTAGGAGAGGTTAGCAGGCCTGGCAGATTGCCACTGATGCCAAATGTGTGGGAATCACGGACGACGGTTTCCGACTTAACAGTGTGCCCTAGTTTCTACAGCTTCTTACAGTACCGCCCGCGTAGCCTGCCTAGCTGAAGCTGGACGGATTAGGATCGCCCGGCAAGGACACATTACCAGAGGTTGTCGTCTTCCTCCACGGAGACGAGACCGCTTGGCATCACGAGCATCCGATGGACCTCAAGTTCTTGAGAAGGCACACGCCCAGGAACGTGACCATGCTTTCCGACAAGAACCTGGGTTCGTGTTGGCTACAATTGTACATTTTTGTTACAATAAAAACCCAGTAAGGATTAAACATGATCACTTTTAATATGGCCGAACCAGGAACTGTGTCTGGAGAGCGGATCTCCCGCGGAGGGTGCCGGACGAGCTGCCTGGCCTGGACCTCCTCTATGGAGCCTTTTGGGGCATCAGCTTTCAGCAAGACACTTGGCGAATGCTCGAATTTAGTTTATAAGCCGGAAGAGAGCCTCGGCCTAAACTTTTCAGCCGCGCCACGAGTCTGCCAGAGGCTTTCGAGCGCTTTCATATGGCGGAGAAATTCATTTGCTGCTCGGAGAATATGGTCAGCCGCGGGGCCATCCGCCGTTTCAGCAAGCCTGTGTACCAACAGCCCCTGGGCGGCCATATTAGAAGCTAAGCATGCTCACCACCCTTCACCTTGAAGCTGCAACTCATCACGATGTCTCGAACTGTAAAGCATCTGGGACCGATCTCTGTATCTGGTCTGCGCACCCCGACACTCAATCATCCCTGCTAAGCTGGAAAGGCTATGAGAGCCCTAACCCCCTTCAGAATACCAACGAGAAAGCTGATGTTGAACCAATCCAGCAGTAGGCTCCTGAAGACTATGGACGACCATCGCCAGTGGAGATGGGGATGGATAATGGAGAGGTCTTGGCAGAACTTGTGGAGCGCTCCAACCCCCCTCCCTGATGCGGAGATCATTCAGCGGCTGAAGAAGACTCTGGCTCCGAACTCTTTCTTGGTCTTGCGCAAAAGCGACGACAGCCCCAGTGCCACATCATCAGTGCAAGCGGTCTTGAAAGCTGCCGCGCGGTGCGGGGATCCGATGTAGATATGCCCTGCCTCATGCAATCAGAACTGTCTCCGAGGAGTGCGAGGCACTCAAACTCTCATTTTCAGAAGCCGGAGAACTGCACAAGCCTGGCCAAAAGCTCGAGCGGCCATGATTCGGTTGAAGTGGTTATACTGGCGAGCGCACTGCCCGGCTTTCCAGCATTGCTTGCAGTAGGTCCATAGAGGCTCATGGCAGCGAGGATCAGGGATTGTCGGGCTCGGCCACCAGCCTAGGGTAAGGAGTAATCGCAGGCTCTGTCGCTCCCAGGCGGAAGTTCTGAGGAAATGAGACATCACGATCTTTCTCATTAGAATTAGAGGTGGGCGCTTCGGTGTTCATGAACTTTAGGTGGCTTTAGTTCCGTCTGGTGGAAGTTATCTGTCTTTGTATGAGCCAGAGGCATCAGCACTCCTCGTACCTGTACTCGGCGGAAATCTTGGCCAACAGCTACGCCTTCGGTGCATGTTTATAGGTGATTTGCTGTCTGGACCGACAGGCAGCATTAGCGGCCATGACCCAATTCGAGTGGTCGAGACCTTATATTGAGAGTGCCGTACAGCGAAGCCACCAGCAGCCATGCAACAGAGACCAGGTGTTGTCAAGCAGGGCAAACAGCAAACCATCCGAGCAGCTTTGACGAGCATCTCACCGGAACAGCACATGCTGACCTGCAGCATATAGCACGGTATCACGTCTCCCTCACGTCGGTTGTATGCCAGAGTGCAGCACTGCCTCAGCCCACAAAAGAAGCAGCCTATCGCTGTGCTTTTGTGCTTACCCCGAGTCCTGTCAGCTCAAAATGCCTGGCGAGGGTAACTCCCCACGCAACTTGAAAATCGCATGACGGACCCAAACCCTAGCTCCAACATCTTGGTCGAAATGTCAAGCTTTGACAACCTATGGTCCAACGCCGAACGCCTGAAGCCCTGACCCCTTTGTGGCTCGCAGTGTCCTAAATTTGATAGTGCGCTGCAGCAAGACAGTTGGCAGAAACTTAAGCTGCCAATCCATTGGCTTTGTCTAGGCCGGGAAAATGCAAACTCTCGGCCACAGCCAGAGTCTGTCTTCGTCGAAACGTCTCGCCAGGCCAGCGACCCCGAGATTGTCCCGGTGCTAACCGAGCTCTTCAATCAGCTCAGCGGCATTGGACTTCAGCAGGGGCCCTAAGCTGGCTTGGGAATCCAGGCATTTTCGACGGTGTAGATGGGCTCTCGCGGGTGTTCTTTCGGGTTTGAGCTTTTCAGGTTTGCGAGGTTTCGGCCATGCTAGCCCTTCGCTTGCATCCGCGGCAATGAGGCCCCCAACAGTAATTACGTCAATTTGCGAAGCCGAGTCAGCATCGGCACCAGAACTGCCATACCTGTAATGCCAAGGTGCCTTATAGCTTCAGAGAGCAAGCTGGAGGAAAGCCTGCTGCTGCGGCGGAGATTCGACTTTGGAGTAGACTTTTGAAGTTCGTCGCAGAACGCACGAGACAGACGGGTGTTTGGTGCTGCATGGGTACATGCAAATCTGTGTCAAGACGCGGGGATGCGACGGGACAGAATTGAGCTTGATTGTTACGCAGCTTGATCACAAAGCCTTCCCCAAATCTGAACGCTTTTGCACAAGCCGCATGCCAAAAAATAAGCGGTCCAATGCAGGAGATAACGGAGCTCGTTGAGGACTTCTTCGGCATGTTTGAGCGGTGCGCCGTGGCCCAGATGATTCAGCCGCCTGTGATTCATGTGTAGCAAGAGAGTTTTGAGAGTTGTCTTCCGTCATGTTGTTCAACTTGTCGCCAGCTTCCAGAAAGCCCCGACCTGGGAACTTGAACCGAGCGAACCTTGCTACGCTGCGGCAGCAGGGTTTAGACTCTAGACCCTGAGCCGCTGCATGGAAGGTACTTGCGCTTTGCGCCTACAATTGTTATAAATGTCTGGGGCCTCAACCAGGATTCTGGGGGAATGGTCCAAGGCGCGTGAGTGGGCAGAGTCTAGCTTAGCTTTCGGTTTATTTGTTTCACATATACTGGCTGAAGGTTTGAGGGCCTGCCCTGAAGTCCCCGGGATTGAGCTAAAGGATGATTAGTTGAGAGTTTCAGTCTCGTGAGACCCGATCAATCCTTGGTCTGAGAGTCTGCGCAGTCCAAGACTTGCATCAATTCGGCTCCCAGTTTGCAATTAGGTCTACGCGGTGCGTCGTTGCAACCGGCCCCTTTTCTTTGCAGACTTGAGTTCGTTTGAAGCTGAGGCCCCGACGCTTCTTCCGACTCTCCGACTGTGGACTTCCGGCTGCAATGTGGCAGTTCCTCAGAGGCTAAAGGCCGACTGCGGCGTTGACAAGTACTGCTTGCCTGAGTTCGTAGCAAACCGAACTGGGTCAGAAGACGCGAATTTCTAACACAGGCCACACTGCTGTTTTAAGCTGGTGACCTGGCTCCACACTTGTGTTTGGGTGAACCTTTCGCGTGCTCATAGAGCCAAGTGATGGGAAGTGTGCAACCGCGTAAGTGAATATGTTTGACTGAGGAGCGTCGTGATATTTGTGCAGCAGAAGGAAGCCGTCGAGGTCGCCTTTTCGATAGAGAGTGGGCTCTGGTACATTCAGGCAGGCAAAAGGAACGGAGAAGTCTCAAGACATATTGAGGACTATTTAATTGTTTCAAAAGAGCGAGAATGCAGCCCACCCTGTGAACCGAACCAGGCTCCCCTGGAGTGTCCGAGTTGCAAGCGAGAATCGAAACTCTAAGTGGAAGCTTCGAGGATTCAAGGCCAAGAAGCATGCCTCCGATTGATCAGTATCGCTGAGTCATACAGTATCATACCTTTATGCACATCGGCTCTCGTGGGGTTGTAGCCCTGGATTGATATACTGGCAACCAGAACTCAGGCTCCGGATGCTTCGACTGTTCCATTCTGGCCATGTTCTTTCATTCACAAAATTTCGAGTGTCAATCTTCTGAGCTCGGGGTTTGTCCTAGTTCCCTGCAGCTCCACTGTTCCCAGAGGCTTAGCGGCCCTGCAAGGTGTTCGGCCTGCACTCTCTGGTGACCCTCGTAGCAGCATTGGTGAGTGGTGAGGGGGGGGGCCGGGTGTCGCACAGGCCGTCATCGCTTTCATCGAGTCTGTATTCTCGCACATTGCAGAGACCAAAAAAGTCGGCAGGCCAGCTTGTTTCGCGTTCTGGGTCAGAGATGCTTGAAACCTTTCCGGTACTGACGCCCGAGCCTTGTTGCTACCAGTGATTGCATACTAGATTAATTCATACATACAACTGAGGGTGAGTCGTGGTTGAAGGCAATATCAGAGGCTCTCGGACGATATTTGACTGCAGAGTGTCTCCTCAAACTTACTCTTTGCACAAGTGCCGGCACAAGCCTAAACATGAGGCCTCAGACCGGTGGAGCCCCTGATCGTCCGTCAACTCTAGCCTAGAATATCCTGGAAGAGGCCCTATACCAAACTGCTATCAGGGGCCTCGCTTCAAGACTTATTTTAAATTTTGTAAAACAGATGACACCTTGGAGCGACTCAATTGGAACACTTACCGCAGCATGTTTGCAAGGATGTGGGAACCCTGGGCTTGGCAAAGCTTCGGCAAGTACAGTATCCATAGGTGCCCCAAACCACTGCCCGATCCCATCTAACAATACTAACTATTAGTATTACTGTTCATTGTTTATCATTATTATTATTATTATTGGTGCTGGTGGTGGCGGTGGTGGTGTTGGCAAGGCATTTGGTGGTGGGAGGGGGTTGGTGGTGGGGTAGGCATCATTCTTGAGAGGTTGATTAGTATCAAAAGAATGGATGAATATATTATATAGCTAATAATATCTAGTATTATTGTGCAAGAACATGTGTTGGGCAGGTGGCAGGGGGGGGGCACCTGTTGAGGAGGGGGGGGGGGTGGTGGTGGTGGTGCTGGTGGTGGGGCATCTGTTGGGGGGTGGTGGTGGTGGTGGTGGTGGTGGCCCCCCCTCAATCTGCAAGCTCCGACAAAGTTGGGAACTCTCACGCTGGTCTGCGCATTTTCGGGTAAAGAGCCCGGGCTTTGTGGAACGGAACTTGCGGTGTTCGGGAAAGCCGCGGAGACTTTGCAGGCGCTTTGTAGATGAGCAGAAGGCCTCCATTGGCCAGATGCTTCAGCCCCATGCTTTGCAGGCACTGGCGGCATTCTTGCACGGGTTTGAATTGAATTGATAGGATTCGACAGCCCTCAGCCCACCCCACCACAACGGCATCTTTGAATAGGGTGGGATTTGCAGCCCGGAAGCACGATGGAGGGCTTTCCAACAGCAGTTGAGCTGCTGAACCGAATTCGATCTAGCAAAGGTATCGATTTGGCGGTTGTTTGGTTCCTGGTGCGCTGCTCCAGAAATGGCCGAATTGTGAAGGTGGCACCCGGTTTCGTCGAAGCCGTGTTCAAGCTCATCGCTGTGGTGGCTGCCTGAGCCAGTCCGTCGTGATCTTTCTGTAGCATGTCTTCAGCTTAGCTGAGCCTGTGCCCCAAGCAAAATTGCGGAATCCGTCGAGGGTGTCTCCTTTCTCCATGAGGTTCCCACAAAGTACGTGCAAGACTGCATCCCCTCTATCCTGGAGGGCGTCCGATCTGCATTTCCACAGGCCTGGGGTAGCGCAGGTACTGGGATATGGAGCATTTTTCCCACTTGCCTGGGACAAGCGTGTGGGGTATCCGGGATTCAGAACGGCATCCTGCGCTGGGCTTTTCCATTTGGTGCTGAGGTCCAGACGTACTTCAGAGCTGGGGCTGTCTAGCAAGCTCCTTTGGGGTCTATGCTTCTTCTGATTGCTGGGTGTCCCGTTCCCAAGTTTAGTCAGCACCCTCCGAGCCCCGTCTCTGCACGTTTCTACCAGGAGTTCGCGAATTGGCTGGAAGCCGGTCTCGGCCACCTGCCCCCGTCAGTGGGCTCCAAGGCACGGGGCCTCCAGCCCGACTTCCTGAACTTCTGAAGCCTTAAGCCTTAAGCTCTGCACTTCGGACCCTCCGCCCGCAGCGGAGTAAGCACGCTGCTGATCGGACTAACGGAGGTTAGTCTGCACTTTCCGTTGGAAGCAATAGCCTGGCCGGCCTGTGATCATGATGGTCGTTGGTATGCCAAAGTCGACAAGCCGCCGAAGCGCCGGATCCGTAAGGAGGGTGTGAACTCCGGCTGCAAAGGGCACTGGGTTTTCGTGGCTTAAGCAGATTGGGCTTCGGCTTGTGGAGTCAAGCTTCCTGGCTTTGGTTTTCTGGCGCTGGGGCAGGGTGAAGCTTGGTAGTCAGGTTAGAAGGTCAGACAAGGTCTCGGGAGTTCAGGGCTTCAAACATGAAACGCAATCACTCATAGTGCGGACCTGTTGAAATCCCAGCAGGCCTTCGAACCCAACAGTCTCAACCAAAACTCGCTCAACTTGTGTCCCCCAAGTTGTGTACCCTCACGATAGAAATAACATCCTGCTAGCCGTGTGCGCCTCTGCTGACATTGGAAAGGCCGAGCTTCAAAAGTTCGGAGAGCAGATTTTGCGCGGCGACGACGCACAGGTCTACGAAGCGATCCAGGAGACGGGGCGTTGAACTTTTGCATGTCTTCGTCAGGCTGCCTCGCTTTTCATAGAGGGAGGTTCTTGACACAAGCAAGGTTTGATCAGGCCAGCTATGTGTTCATGGTGAGATGAGCCGGCGGCTTGAGCGCGAAATTACAAGCACGAGCATGACCAGAGGACCTGTGCTACCGCTGCGAGCAGGCGCGACAGAGCTGTAGGGACATAAAGGTGCGTGGGGGTCTGCAGGGACTTGCGCTTACAAGGTTACTAGGCAAAGCCCTTCCCTTTTCAGCCGAAGTTTGCTGCAAAGCCTACTTCATGGACCTGTGCCCTCTCAACTTTCGCAGGCTTGACGGCTTTACAGCGAGGCTTTTAGGGTGCAGAGTAATTCAAGTGATTCAGGTTAAAAAGTACAAGTTATGGTGACTTTCTGATACAAAAAATCAGGGGTTGGTTGCTTGTTCGAAATCATGTCTGCGTAGGCTCGAAGGCTTAGCTGGAGAACGGATGGCTTGAGAAGGAGTTTGGTAGAGACATGGAAGGGATGTACGTGGAAGTATCTTCAAACTGGCGTTTCAAGGTTGGAATCCTCCCCTTAAAACAGTCTCTTGAAGTCAAGCTCTTTGTCATTTTTTGCTTGACTCACCGACATCCGTGGAAGCCATTCCGGTTGATTACCCGAAGGCGAGCACAGGCTAGGATCCGAAACCCAGGCTTCGGCCCGAAGAACCTTCAAATCCCTTAGGTAGTTTTACGGAGCCGCGGCCAAACCGACAGCGGAGGCCGGAGAAGCATGTGGAGCGTTTTCAGGTTCTGGATGTGGCGTCTTTCGAGCATGGAGTTTGGATTGAAGGCCAGCTTGGAACATTTGAGAAGGACACTGGCGCAGCTCGAACTTCGAAATCGCTACAAGGCCTAGAGTTCCAAAGCCTGAATCTCATGCAACGAGAGCGAAGTCCCCCACTCGGAAGTTCACAGTACGAGAGTGACAATGGATGGGAAAAAAAACCGATAGCCCTCAACCTGACTCTGACTTCGGAGGCAGGGCGCCAAGTGAGTCCTGAGTTTTCTAAGCTGTTGAAGCTGTTGTCCAGTTCAGGGCTGACATCTAAAGATCTTGCGAGCGGCTTAAGACATGTTTGTCTTTGTGGGCTGAATGCAGGCTTGGGGATGAAGGCTTTCGCAGTCTCCGGGGCTTAGACTCCCGGAGTTCCTGTCGGGTGTGAGATCTTGGTTCGAGTTTTTTCCGGGCTAGTTAATGAGTGTGTTTGAGTAGTCTTAGAATTTCTTCGGGTGCAGCGTTTCGAGTCTTGCTTCAGGAGTGGAGGTTTGGGGTCTCGGAAGGAGAGACGCAGGGAGTATCTGAGGGTTTCGTGAGACAGGTTTCGCAGATTCAGTTGAAGGCCCGACATTGCCAAGGAGAGGATGTGCACTCAGAAGGCCGGTCGGGTTCATGGCCCAGGCCTACTTGTAGCATGTAGCCTCTAAGTTAAAGTTGCGGCTCGGTGCAAGGCAAAAAGAAAAGGTGATGCCCACCTGCACCTGCACTCGCCGACGCCTCAAGTCTTCGGGTGTTGAGGAACCTTGGGTCACCCAGACATTTTGTATAAAGCCACCAGCTTGTTTGGAAGGGCATGCAGTAGGACATACCTACAGTGGTGGCATTTGGCTCGTGCTGCATCATTTGCCAGGGTAGAGTTGGATTCCTGTTCTGGAGTTCCGTGCATGTAGCTCGCGGGTTTGGCGATTGGGCTCATCTGACGAGTAGCCTGTCACTCGTGCATGAGACAGGTCTTGCGCACAGTGAGCACGCAAATCACCAGGCAATGAGTCTATGGGCCGCAGTAAGCCTGAGAAATCGCGACACCGGAATTCTGAAAGCTGAACCTACCTTGCACTTCAAGCCCATGCAGATCTGGGCTTCGGCTGGGTTCAGCATTGCTTGAAGTGATGCAGGCTCTTGGCTTGAAGACATTCTGGTAATTAGGATTGGCATTGCCGCTGTTGAGAAGACCCTGTAGTACTGTAGTGGTGCCCCCAGGGAGCCTTCAGCCCATTTCCCACCAATCTCGTCAGGTTCAAAGCCAGTTCAGAAGTCCAAAAACCATGCCCGTCCGGGGATTTCTAAGAACCCGCGCGCGCGCGCGTGTGGGGTGCAAAGCCGAGCCCTTCGCGCCTTAGCTGGCCCAGGCCTCAGGCGACTGCTTTGTCGAGATCTTGAGGCCGCACCCCCACCCAGCACCTGATTTAGTTTTTTTTGCGCGGAGAACACCAGGTTAGCTGGTATATCGAGGCAGAATGAAGCAATAAGTTTCAAGAGACTTGCTACACACGTGGAATCTGCAATGTAGCTGGATCCCTTCAGCCCAAAGCCTTTCCCTCATGCCATCTTTGACGCTAGTGATGCCGACGAGGGATTTTCACAGGCCTCGTTGTGGGCTCACCTCTCGCGGCAGAGATGGAAAAAAGACGAAGAAGCACAAAGTGGCTTGCCCGTGCTTCGGGAGTCAAACTGGATTCTCTTGAGGCTGCAGCGAGGCAAGCCGCGTCAGACCTCAAGCCAATCAAGTGCACACTCTCACTCACTCCAAACCCGTGGATCCTGCCGATATACTCGCTGTACCTGTTGCACTTTACAAATCGGTTGTTATCACCTCCCGAAGCCTGTTGTTTTGAAGATTGCAGAATGTCAGGCCATTCATTTTTCAGATATGTGTCCCATGAGTCTTCCCTGCCGCTGCTGCTTTGAAAGTTGTCTGAGATAAAATCTAGCAAAGCATAAGAAGCCATAAACCCTAAACTCAGTGCGCCGGAACACACCGCGATCCTCTGCCCCAAGCACCCTCGGCCCGGCACCGACTATGAAAGCTCAGATTGCCTTACGGCACTGAGTGCAAGGCACTGAGACTCCTCTCCATGTTCCCACAAAAGAACAGAAAGTCTACCATGAATTAGGGCTTCAAAAGCTCAGAAGTCTTTTGCATGTCCCGCACGAACGGCGCGGGTCCTCGGGTGCCCATGCACGGCTCCAAGCCGGACCTGCTTCTCGGTTTTGTTTGCGGGCTTAGCTCGGTTCTCAAGGCAGGCCCTGTTTTGGTATCAAAATGTCCAGCCAAACGATAGCACAAAGAGGGTCGAATCTGCGTCTTGGCAACGTGTAGCTGCGTAGCTCTCCGACTCTGAGCAGCATGCTGGATCAAAACTTTCGGAGGGGTGAAGCTGCCCTGAAGATTTCAAAGCACGTCTCCGGTGGGTTTCCAGGTATTCTGCCTTTTGATGAAGCCCTCGGGGTGACGCGAGGTTTGGCGTTCTTTCCATCATCCAGCCTTCTGCGGTCTCTGCTTCTGGCGCTTCCGCTTCTGGCACTGACGACGACGGCAGCGAGTCGTGGTCTTGTTCCACGAGTGAGGGGACGGGCAGCGAGTTTGAATGCTGCAGATGCTTGGCTTCGTTTGATGTTCTCCACTTAAAGGACTTGGGCTGCTCTTCGAGCGGCTTATTTTGGGCAGGGTCGATGGAGTCCGACTGTTTGGTTCCGTTGATGTACCTGCTTTTCCAACCCTTCTCGTGCTGAGCGCGGAACTGCGCAACCCACAGCTGCGGCTGAGGAGTCACTTCCCGCCGAACCACTGCAGACCGGGACCTGCTGGGGGGGGTGTCGCATGGATTGCTCACCATCTTCCTAATCCTCGGGGCCTAGAAGGCTCTCGATACTTTGGAAGAACTGATTGAAATTGACGCCTTTTCCGCCCGGGGCCCAGTCTTCTTTTCTCGAGGCCTTCGGTTGCAGACACAGCTCGGGCATGTGCGAAGCCTTCCACCCTAAACTGCCATGAAGCCCGAACCCTCTGACTGCTTGATGTTGAAATTACAGAAAATGGCAATCCCAGAGGCCACGAAAAGCCCAAGTATTTGATCCTGGTCGACTGTTGCTGAATCAAATCCGTCGTTCGAAGCCTCGTCTTAGCATCTTAGCCCTCAAACCGAGGCCCCCAAATCCACACCCACAGACCCTCACAATCCTCAAGTTCCGTGACCAATGATCGCGGAGGAATTGAGAGGCCTCCTGGCCCAGCGTGACAGCATCAATGCAAGCATCGAGGAAAGTGGGTCTCCTTTCGGAAATGATTTTAAATTTTAACTATAGGATTCGGAGATTTTGCGGTTCCTGGTTCTTCAAGAAAAGGCCTTTGACTCAGACCACAAATTATCTGCTTGGCAGTCGGATTGTGTTGGACAGGTCCAGACCTTAAAAAGAAAGTCGAAATGAAGCTGAGACACTCAGATGTCATGCACGTTGTCTTTCGTGTCTCCTTGGGTTGTGGCTTTTGATACTCTCCTCGTGACCCTGAATACTGAAAGTCTAGCTGGCAGCCCACAGAGCCTCGCCAATGCCTCAACATGCTGGTTCCCGGGTTCCTGGTGTCCAGTACCGGAGGAATACGTCCGACGGCGAGGTTTAGAACTTCCGACAGCCGCTTGGAGGGAAAAATGCTCAGGGAGGAACTGAGGTGGACAGACAATGGGGTGCAGATGATAGGGACAAAAGAAGACGAGGTGGTCTGATAGGTGTGCATCAAATCCTGTCGACCATCCGTGTTCCATCCAGGCCCAGGACGTTACGGAGCACTCGTACCTGGAGTTCGTCTCGCCCGAGGTAGAGAGAAAGTGGCGGGAAGAGGGTTGCTGCGATCAAGTGGCATCTCGGACTGTCTCGGGTTTGGAACCCAAGGTTCCCAGAGTTTACCGTCAGGTGTGGTGGTTCACGGGCATAGGGTTTTGGTCTGAGTCTCTGAGTCTGAGTGTTGAGTCTTGCTCAACCGGGTTCAGGGCTCATGGCTTTAGGGTTCCTGGCCGGGGGACTCCAATTTGTGCAGCCTGCGGTCTGGTCGATGATGAGCCGCACCATACTCGAAAATGTAAATTCTGTGAGTGCCGTTCTCAAACAGCAAGCACAAAGACCTCCCTGGCTTGGTGTCGGCGTCAAACACCTCTCCAGCTCGACATGTTGAACGGCTGAACTCTCAGCAGCATCCGCTAGACAAAACCTTGCCTGTACCGGCTAAGACTGCAACTCCCGCAACTCAACCTCGCTTGAATCGCCAAGCCGCAAGGTCTTAGAAAAGCCTGAAAATCCCCCGTCTCCCAAACTCTCCATTCTGCCCAGGTGCTTGCGAGCCTCTTCTTGGGCCTTTGTGAGGCCGCTTTGCCCCAAAACTCCGAAGGCATAGTCATCGTTATCATTGACACATTGACGCATCTTACACGGAAGAGTAGTAAGTGTAACGGTGTAGCAAGACTAGCAACTCTCTGACTTCGCGGCTAACGCGGGCCCGGAAGCACTACTACCACCACCACTACTCTATTACAACTTCACTGCTACTACTGGTCGCTCCGCACTGACGGATGTTGCCGCGAACTTGAGAGTGCAGGAAGGCTTGAGAGAGTCCTCGAACATCGCTGACGGTCTGAATGCGGGTTTACATTCTTGGGTAGTTGCGACCAGCGTGTAGTGCTTCGGGCTGTTTATGGAGTGCGGCGCTGTTTGTGTGATGCATGAGCGACAACTCAAGTACTGAAGCTGCAACAAAGTGCTCTGTGCGACCTCTCTCAGACAAAGGTTATCCTTCGAGGCGAGACGCTCTACCAAGATCTTTGGATGCATATGTCATATGTAGAAACTGCATTTTCTGGACACTTAAAAGGTTGGCTTTTCGAGGTCTGAGCATGTAGGGGGGGCATAATGTTCTTCCGATTGGAGGCACCATGTCTCTTTGAGCCTTCGTGCACAAATTCTAGCACCAGCGCCACCACCGTCACAACTACCAGCACCACCATCAGCACCAGCACCAGCACCACCACCACCACCACCAGCACCAGCAGCACCACCAGCACCATCAGCACCAGCAGCACCATCAG